AAAAAATTGGGAAGTTAAGGGTTAAGTCAAAAAAACCGCGCGTTGTTATATGATCGTAAATCGAAACCAGGATCGTCTGTTGTCTATTGTGCAGTTCTATTTACCAGTGGTACCTAACTCCCGGGCCGCTGACCGATACCAGTTCGTGGATCAAATAGTACCGAGCCACCCAAGGAACATTAAATATTTTCCGTTCTATTTACTGCGGCGTATTTCTCTCGGGTTTGTGCGACTTTTTATGGAAATCACTTTACATATATTCCATGTTAAATAATTTTATATTTAATTTTTTATGTAATTGTATTTTATTCTGAAGAGAGGGGAATTTAAATACAATTATATTAAAATTATTAAATCAAAACAATCAACTTTCCCCCTCGACGAACTAAGGGAAAATGATCAAACGTTGACCGGTCCACGGCGTGAGTGAGTGAATATTGATGTCGCACTGTTCAGCTGCACGAGGGCTTTTGTCGATGGACCTCGCGTAATTTTGAACCATGGTCAAGTGACGAGGACGACACCTGAGCTGGGGGAAAGGGTCCAGGATCACCATTTTCGTATCATACCTCAAAACGCTACCAAACATATTTATTTGATTTAATCGATTTTGGGATCTAAAAACAGTAAAAAAATGAATTATTAAATTAATAATTAGCTTAAATTCATAAAATAGTTAATAATAAATACTCAATTAAATTTTACGTACTATATACATAGGATTATCTTCAATTGAAAAACAATTCAAGGGCTATGGGTGGTGTGGTCCGGACTCGTGGTCAACCCTCTTGTGTGCGCTATTGCACTCCCATATTTCCTAAGACGCATTGACATTTTTTGTAAGGTAATTGGTGGAATCGATATTCGAATGTAAAATCTATTGGTGCAAAAAGATATTAATTTTGTAATCATGCTAGGTCTTTTTTACAAATTCATCTGTCAAAACTAGATAACTTTTGTAATCTGTGAGTTGTAATCCCTCTTCCCACAGTTTAATTTCTAAGACGTGCAGTTGAACTCCCTGGCACATTTTTTCAAATCTCTGGTGCAAAAAATGTTTTAATCACGAAAAGCCCTTTTTAAATGCATTTTCAGGAAAAAAAAGTTATTTCCCTTCAATTTATATTTTCATTGAAATCTACATTCATAAATGAACCAAGTACGAGAAAATGATATGCAGTTTGTACCCCTGTAATCGTTTCGACACTAAAACCGTAACAGGTGTAATAACAGCTGTCGGGAAATTTAACATGTCCAGTAATTCTCCTGCCCCACCACCACCCATCTACACCTATCAGAAAATCATTCAGAAGTCAATCCATTCCAAAAACGTCAGGATCGAATTTCGTTAACAGTGCACAATGTTGAAAAGAATTAATGTAGTTGCATATTGGCTAGATTCCCCTTTCCATCACATTAAATAAAGGAGGAATAGTGCCAGAATACATTCAATGTAGAAATGCAAATATAATAGTTTTTATAATAGTGAGGTGAAAATTTTTAGTCATGATTACGGGGTTCAGCAGGAAAAATATTGTGCAATCTATGATTATACAGTCCAAAGGCAGCTTAAAACCATTGAACCAACGAACCTTACTAAAGGGAACGGGGGAAGAGCTAGAAATTAATACATCTGATTAAAAAAAGTCTAAAAATATGTTAAGAATATTCGAGATTATGTGTTAAAGCAAATTAAGGTATCCGACTACTTGCGACTTTAAAAAAAAAATGGAGATATGGGGATATTTTTGTGGTTTTTAGCTTTGTTTAGTAAGTCTTAAGAAAAATATGCTAAAATTAAGAAGAGAGAACAAGATTATTTTTAAAATGTGAAAAAAATGAGTAGAGAACTTTTTCTTAGTTATTATATGAAAAATTGCTTAAAAAAACAGTGATTATATTCACATAAGGGACCGTAAATTTTGTAATAAAACAGTGATCGATAAACCTGTAGGTTATAACACTTCTACTATTATACAGAACATACGCAAAAAATTTCAGTTAATTATTTTCAAAATCTTCAGAGTAATCGCCGTCCCCGTTTGAGCATTTTGAAAAAAAAATACATTTCGAGTAAAACGCATTTTAAAGTATGACATTTTGCTTAAAGTAATGGCATCTGCTTTTGCTAAAACACTTGTAGTTTTTGTTCTAGAGAACGTAAAATAATACATTTGGTATTTTTATAAAGCTAATAAGATACCCTACAATATAAAATCATAAAAAAAAATTTGTTCATTTTTGGCAAAATCCACATTTTTAGAGTAGTCGGACACCTTAAGGAAGACACATTACCTTAAAGATGACCAAAGTGTCGATTTCTTTTATTACCTCGTTTTAATTGTGTGACTTTTCTAAATATGTGTACAAAATCGGAAGGTGGAACAAGTGATATCTGACTTTTTTAACGGACTTTAAATGGCTTTTTCACTGGATTTTACTTTTCACGATAATCATCTATTAACACAATCTCTTTTTTATATTCAATATAATGTTTGGAAACTTTGAGTCATTTTTAAAAAAATTAAATTTTAAAATAGTTGTTTGCTTAAAAATTATGTTTTGTTTTTTTTCTTCTGAAAAGTATATTTCATGTCTGATCAAAAAAATACAGTACATAGAAAAATCTTCATATAATCTCTCTCTCGTATAGATAAATATATATATATTGTTACGCAGATCCGTGGTTCGAGGATTTTATGCAAATCAGTCGCAAAGAACAAAACAGTTCTTTAAGAGCGATGAGAATTTATTGTCGAAAATCTAATCCTTGAAATACAGAATTCAGCAGCAATATTCACAAAATAAATCTCAGGTCTTCACACCTTCAACAGCACTCAGACACAATTATCGGTGTCTAAAATACACGCATATAAAAGATTATTCACAAGCAATCGCTCGTTCAACAGCCGAAGTAATCACTAATCGCTTCAACAGTCAAAGCAATACTAACTGATCACTAGTCAAAACCAGACCGACTGACTGACTTTCCGTTTAGATCGCTTAGATCTATCTGGAGACTGGGACCCTGTCAAGTCCCTCCGCTCCATATCTGGTAGTGACTGAGTTTGGTATTGAGTTCTTGGTTGAGTGGGAGGAGGTGTGGCTTCTGAAGGCAGGAACCAATGGGATGATACCAGAGAGACTTTGCTCTGACTGACTTTCTGTGAGCATCTCTCTTTTATATCCCTCGCGGATAATTCAAGAAAGATCCGCTTGCGTCATAGGTCTAGAAATTAGTGGATTTCTCTACTAATTTCTAGAAGAATCCAGAGGGTCCCGAACTCGCCAAAAATGATCGCTAACATGATCGCCAAGTCGCCAAATTGTTCGTCAAAAATGACGCCAATTTGGCTCTATCACCAAGATTTGGCCGAGTTCCCATTGAATCACCATTATAACGTAAGGGGGATGGCGTTGCTTGTGAATATTACAATTTTAACGTAAATTAAATCTAATTTAGAGTAAGATAAAGGCATTACATACCTAAATACAAATTATTTACTCTATTTTACACAAAATTCGTAACAATATATATGTACAAGGTACCGAGTCCCCTAAGTAGTTCAAACTGTTTTCATTCCCCATGGTATTAACACAAAAGAATTCTTGAAAATAATACAAAAAACTCAATTGAAAAACAAATAGCTACATTTTAAAAAGTAAAAGTCAGATTGAAAAATAGCTTTAAAGATTAGTGTCCATGGATAGTGTGGCAGAAAATATCTAAGTTTAATTGAGTGTTTTAGTTATAATTCCACTAAAAGGTCGCAGTAGCCTTGTGGTTATGGTTACAAATTCGTGGCCGAGTTGTCATGAGTTCGAAGCACTGAAGAACCGCCATGTAGAGGGGCTGCTGCTGTCGAGGCTCCAAGTCCTTTCGTTGGCGTGATGTAGAAGTTGAGAGAGGGGTCCCCAGCTCAGGCTTCGTAATCTCAGGCCTTTTGATCGTTCAGAATTATTAGGTCTGTCGGTCGTCAATACCATCCACGTTGCTTTAGTGTGGGGTGGCGAACCTTTATGGATCAACGTGCCATTTTTTTCTAAAGTGTTGAATGAGGTCTAAACGTGCCGTCAAATAATTTTGAATTGTAGTTATTGGGAAAATAATAAAACTAAATAC